ACCTTCTAATATAATATTAAAAATATCGAGCAAAAAACAATCGAAGCAAAAGATCGAGCAACATTATCATGCACTTATTTATTTATTTGTTAAAAAAATATAACATTAAAAATAGAAGAATCGATTTTTTGTCATATTCATCAAATGTAATTTTATAAAAAAAATAGTTTTATTAAAAAAATAGAAAATCATTTCACATATTCATCATAAAACATAATTTTATTAAGCCAAATATTTTTTTTTTAGAAAAATCTATATCCCAAAATACCCTAATATTGAGCTCCAAATGTCTGTTTTTGTTCTCAAGTCCATTATTTTATTAAATGTAATTAATCATTTCAGTCAAATATTGTCTGAAAAATCCTTAAAACCTGAAAAATTAGGAAACAAATTAAAAAAAAAATCGGTTTGAAGCTTACATTGTTTTCTTCCTACTCAAATGAAGCTTCAATCTCAAAATCAAGCTTGAAATCTCTCGATTTCAATGAAATCAGAAGTCTAGAAATCTGGATATCTCTGTGATCATTAAAAGCCCTTTATTTTTATCGAAAACAAATAAAAAACTAGGCCAAAATCCTTAGATTGACAAATTTTTCATATAAAATTGAAGAACACCGAAATAAACGGCCAAGAAATTGCAATTTTGAACTCGAAATCTATGGATTTCGTTGAAACTAGGAATGTATTAGTCTAACCATCTCTTTCATCTACTAAAGCCTTCCCTTTGGATAAAAAAGAAATCAACAATGCCTAAAACTGTAGATTGACGAATTTTCATCAAACTAATAAAGTACAAATAAATAACGACCAAAAAAACATGAAATTCGGTGGTTTTTATCTCAAATTGACTATTTTATAGAGTAACATTAATAATTTCATTCAAAGTATTCTCTTTTAAATCCTTAAAAGGCTAATAAAGTTTGTAAATTCAAATCAATCTTGAACCCAAAGAAAACCAGTGGGTTCTGGAAAAAATAACGGGCCAACGTATCAAATAACATAACTGTTACGTGACACTGTTATATATATTGTTATAATGTTAAAAATAGTTTTATGAACAAACCGATCCTGTTAGGTAAAAAAACCAGCTGGCTATAATGAAAATCGAGAGGTTCGGACTGGTTTTGGCTCGGAGGTTTTTTGGAGAAGTTTGTCCTATATACTCTAAAATCGGTGCTAAGCGGAACCGGGACCTCCTGGTTCCGATCTAACCAGCCAGTTCTGGTTTGAACCGGCTAATTTTTCAAACACTGTGATACTATCTAGCCCTCTAAATTTTTTGACATACTTTCTCTCTCTAAAATTAGATGTGGTTTCTCTCTCAAACTCAAAATTTAGGATAGTCTCACACTCTAAAAATTTTGAAATAGTTTCTCTCTAAAATTTGATATGGTTTCTCTCTCTAAAATTTTAATAAACTTTCACTCTCTAAAATTTAAAATTTGAAAGAGTTTCTCTCTAAAAATCTTGGGATAGTTTATCTCTCAAAAAATTTAGGTACTTTCTCTCTCTAAAATTTGATATAGTTTTCTCTCTCTAAAATTTTAAAATACTTTATATCTTTAAAATTTGATATAGTTTATCTCTAAAATTTTAAGATATTTTATCTCTAAAGCTTAAAATTCGAGATTGTTTTTCTTTCTCTAAAAAATTTCAGATAGTTTCTCTTACTAAAAACTTTTAGGTGGTTTCTCTCTCTAAAATTTAAAATACTTCCTCTATCTCAAACTTAAAGTTTGAGATTGTTTCTCTTTTTAAAAAATTTGAGATAGTTTCTCTCAAAAAAAAAAATTCAAGTAATTTCTCTCTGTAAAATTTGATATAGTTTATCTCTCTCAATTTTTAAGTTACTTTCTCTCTTTAAAACTTAAAATATGAGATAGTTTCTCTTTAAAAAATTTTAGATAGTTTCTTTTTCTAAAAAATTTCTGGTACTTTCTTTCTCTAAAATTTGATAAAGTTATTGTCTCTAAAATTTATAAGTGAGTAAGAGCCTATCTCACTTTTTAAAAAAGGACAAATGAGTTCAAAAAATGGCAAAAGATTTCATCCCAGTTATAATTTTATAGTCTAATAATGGGGAGGACCGTAAACTTTACTTTAACCTATCACAAGTCTAAGTAAAGGAGGTGGGTTACGTTCAACAGACAACCAGTTTAAAACTTTGATACATCTTATCATGAATTAGCCGATGATAAATAATTAAGATAAAACTAAAAATGATGATGAAGATATAATTTTATAGAGTTTATATTACTGGTATGTTAATCCAAAGTAATACTACTTGGAAAGCAATAGATTGACTTCCATCCATTGTTTGGAGGCTAACACTCCTATCCTCGATTCATCATTATTATTATCATTTATGCCTTATTTAAATTCACAGACAGGAAAAAGAAATAAAAAGAAGAGGTAGAGGGAAAAATTAAACGTTTGAGAGAAGGAGATATGTCTTAAGGGGCAAAGGTGGATGAACCCGCAGCAAACCAAACCGCGGACGTGAACCCTCCAAATTGCAAGTCTTCTGAAGCAGCTATTGGTCCGTGACGCGGGCCGCGCGGAAGGCGATGAGAGAGAGGAGGTGGAGAGAATTATAATAATAAATGGAAGGCAAGGCAAGGCAAGGCAAGGCGAGGCGAGGCGATCGCAAAACAAAAACCATAGTCAACTTCCTCAAAACAACGGCCGACTTTCTTATTCTATTTGGTTCCACCAACTTATTAAAGAGTATCAAACGAGTTATAGGGAAGGCAATGGTTGGGACCGGATCCCAAATTATCAGATCCGACCGGACGCAAAACCAACCGGACTCCCACCAGACCTGGACCTGGATTCGGACTCGGACTCGGACTCGGACCCGGACCCGACTGAATATATATATATATATATATATAATTTAAATATTATAATTAGAATATACAATTATATTTTTTAATTATTATTAAAATATTATATATTAAATATTCACACTAATAGGACCCGAATAGTATTGGGGTCCAAGATTTGAACTTGCACCTGACCCAACAGGTCCAATTTTTTGACACATTACTAGTCTTGGGTCGGGTCTCATCGTCGAGTCCCTAATCGGATCAAGGTCCATTGCCACCTTAGAGAGATCTTCGATCCATTGCTTGATGTCTGAGATTTGGGCACTTGCCTTCTTGATTCCCTCGGAATAGTTATCTATTATATCTGGAAATCCCCGTTGATTCATTCGTAGCATTAGCAGCAACTCAGGCTGTACAAAGGACAATCATGTGTCAAGCATACACATGGCAACGTTTTAAAACCCGACGACTCTTGATCCAGATAACTTTAAAACTGATTGATTCTTAATCCAATTTGGATGGGAAACCAATCGTTTATCTAAATCTGTAAATTCTCACCCCATAAACCACTATAATTTTTATTATATATATATATATATATACATGTTTTAGATTATTTATTTAGACTAACGATCTGAAACAGATTTGTGGGGTGAATGCTCTAAATGACTGGCCAAAAGAACCTTACAATTTTGGTGGTTGAGAGAATAAGCAAAGAAGATGAGGCTAAAAGATTGGTGTACATAATTTACCCAGTTAGGGCCATGATAGAGTCGCCCCGGCCTGATCCATTTTTCCTGTCTTTTTTTTAACCTTTGGGTCTATTTGATGCTCAAAAAGAAGAGCTTTATGGTGTTAAATTTGATGCTTTAACCATCATAATGATAGCATCAAAGTTGTATTCTTCTTAAACTTAGAGATAATTGGACCACTATAGGGCATAGCATTAGCTTCACAAGAGCGTTTTGGTCACGCCTCCCAAAGATCAAAGATATTGAAGGCAATAGAGGCTTTTGGTTGTAGAAGATTTGGAGCGGGTATTATTATTTTGTTATTGGTTATTATTATTATTATTATTTGTTTTTTTGAAAAATCTATTTTATTTATTTTAAAATATTGGATTTAATCAATAACACATTTATAACCATTCAGTTTAAAATTTGACGGACAAGCATGATTATGACTTGCTTATATTAAAAGTAAATATAAAATCAAAGAAATACAAAGAGAAATTTATACTCATGCCCCTCTTATACTCTTATATTAGGTTCTTAGAGTTTTTCTCTTAAAATTTTGTATTTGAAGCTTGTATCCATTTTTTTCTTATTTTAATTCCCTCCATGTACCCCTATTTTTAAGTATCGATTTTAGATCTTCAAGGTCCGAAGTAAAAAATTATTTACTATTTTGTACATTATAAGACTTGAAATTCACTTCAAAAACTGAAAGGCCCAGATCAGAAGTAAGGAAATTCTCTGCAACTTTGATCCGAAGTCGCTCCTACTTTAGACTAGTGATGGCAACAGGTCAGGTCGGGTTGGATCCGAGTTCGGTCGGACCCAGACCCAAAAATGTTATCGGACCCGGAGCAGCTGGACCCAACTCAAAAATTAAAATATCTATATATTTAATTACATTTAAATATATTGGGAACTGAAAATTTTTGTCAAAACCCAAATAGTATTTGGGTCCAAGATTTGGACGCAGACCCAAATAGTATTTTGGATCCAAAATTTGACCCGGACCCGACCCGTCGTGTCTATTTTTTGAACCCATACATGGACCTAGATTGGGTCTACTCCCCAGGTCTCAGTCCCGATCCGAGTCAGGATCAGGGTCCAGATCCATTGCCACCCCTACTTCATATCAAGTGACGTATTTTGGAAAAAGGAGGAAAAAAAAATCATGAATATAAAATAAAAATTTCGGAAGACCCATGATAAACAGATTAGAGAGATCCGAGTGTCTGAGGGCCTTTGGGCGTAAATTTAGACAGGGCAAGAGTCCGTTGTCGTACAAATTTCAGGATTATTTTCGTTATTCTAAAATTCCAAAGTCACGCTTAATGGTAAAACCAGGGGCATTTTCGTCCACCTGAAACTAAAACCATCGTTCCTCGTTCACCCTCTACATGCAAATTGGAAACCAAAACCAGGAGCTTCGCCAAATCCGCGTTCTATCAATTAAATATGAAAAAAACTCTCTCTCTCTAGCCGATGTTTCACACTATAAATACCTGGAAAAAGCCAGAACCCATCCATCCAAAGTGGAACCAAAGCATACAGTCCACTTTCTTTGCTTTACAGTCAATTTAGTTTTCATCAAACAGAGAGAGAGAGGGGGAGGGGTTAGAGCGAGAGTTCAGGAAAAGAGGGACAGTTTGCTCTTGGGTTTTATACTTGTAATAAGTTAAGAGAGATCATGGGTAGTACCGCTGGTCAAGTGATTCGCTGCAAAGGTGGAGAGGCCTTTCCCCTGTTTCATCTACTTTCCTTTCATATTTGTGTTCATCTCTCTTGAATTTCATCTCACAGAAGCCGTCGTTGAGATCATCGGTTTGGCAGAAACCCATTTTGGTTACTGCCCATATGATGATTTCATGATGATTTTGAAAGCTTAATTTGTACTGAAGTTTTTGCAGAGATCCTTCTTTTACAAAATGCTTGTTGGTTTCTTACTGTAAATCATGATTCTTCTTTCTAAGAATGTTATTTTAATTTGGTTCATTTTTTTAATGGTTATTTTAATTTCGTTCATTTTGTTAATGGGTTTTGTGGGGTTTCAGCTGCTGTTGCATGGGAAGCAGGGGAGCCATTAGTGATAGAGGAGGTTGAGGTCGCTCCTCCTCAGGCCATGGAGGTCAGGCTCAAGATCCTATACACTTCTCTGTGCCATACTGATGTCTATTTTTGGGAGGCCAAGGTATTCAGTTATACTTAATCTCTCTCTCTTCTGTTTTTGTTTCTTTACAAATCACATATTCTATCTCTAAGTTGGTTAATTAATGTTCTGGTAAGAGATATGAGATTGAAGAATTCAGTGTTTATTAGTAATGACGATCCAAGTTTTGTGATTTCAGGGCCAGAAGCCACTGTTTCCTCGTATCTTCGGTCATGAAGCAGGAGGGTATGCTCTCTCTCTTTCTCTATCTCTCTCTCTCTCTCTCTGTCACACACACACACACTGCTTTTATTGTCATCTGCTCATTGTATTCTTAAGGATATGAAGTTCTTCTGCTAATCTTGGAAATTTCATTACTTTTGCACGAATTTAGTTTTTTAACTCAAAATCAGACCGTGTAGTGAGTATTGTCTGGCTAGTTGGGTTTGCCTACTTTTTGTATTTCTCGACTCTCTGTTTTTTGCATTTATTACTTTTAGTAATGAACTGCTTCTTATGTGCCATTTTATGGTTCATGGGGTATTTTTATCAGTTAGATGATATGTTATTGGTTAATTATACTTTGTTAATCATGTTTGTAGTTGTTTTATGGGAGGTACCAGTTTCAAATTTTATTGATTTGATATAATAATGTCGATTAATTATATCTGTTTGCTTATGGGATCTAAAACCGGTACTCAATTTTGAGTTTTTACTAAAAAGATTATCAGCTTTTAACTTCTGTATCTCATGAATTTTTTGTTTAGTTTTTAGCATTTATATTTTGGATGTAAACTTGAGACTTGAGAGTTACCCAATACTATAATTTGATTTTGGTTGAAACCGACCAATACTCTGAAAATTGAAGCCTTGATCACTGATCATCATTCTTGGAGTTATGATCACTGATTTTGAAACCTAGTAATGTGAGAATTTGACAATGAAAATGAATAAAATCCTTTTTCTTTTGTAAATCAGGCATATGCATATTTTCTTTTATCCAAAAACCTATCAGTTTTTGGTCTCGTTCACAATTTCGATCAATATGCAGTTCTTATGACTTTATCCCTCGATCTTGTAATTATGCCCATCTTAAATGGTTATAGCTTCGGCTCTTCATGGATCATACTTCGTAGTTCATATAATGGTTGATCATACTATCGTAATCATTCAAATTCTGATAATTGTAGTGCTCTCTCCTCCCTCTAATAGGGTGGTGGAGAGTGTTGGTGAAGGTGTGACAGAGCTTCAGCCAGGAGACCATGTCCTCCCTGTCTTCACAGGTGAATGTAAGGAATGTGCTCACTGTAAATCAGAGGAAAGCAATATGTGTGACCTTCTTCGCATCAACACAGATAGAGGGGTGATGCTTAGTGATGAAAAATCCCGATTCTCAATAAATGGAAAACCGATTTATCACTTTGTTGGGACTTCCACTTTCAGTGAATACACAGTCGTCCATACAGGATGTGTAGCTAAGATTGATCCCACTGCTCCCCTTGATAAAGTTTGTGTTCTCAGCTGCGGTATTTCAACAGGTTAGTTAAGATCTCGATTAATTCGGTTCCTTTTACTTTGTTATGTTAATTAGTTGATTTTGGTTCCTCTGTTTATAGCATTTCTACAGTTGCTTTGTTTTGATATCTAGTTCCATGGATTGTTATGAATTATGGAATTGATTGTGTTTGTCGGTTTCGTGATAAACAGGTTTGGGTGCAACTTTGAATGTCGCGAAGCCAACTGAAGGATCATCAGTGGCTGTTTTTGGATTAGGGGCTGTCGGCCTTGCTGTATGTCTGATTACACTCTAAACAATATATGATGCCTTTCTCTCTCTCTCTCTCTCTCTCTCTCTCTCTCTCTATATCTCTCTCTCTCATTATCATTGAATTGTTGCACATTAAGGCTGCTGAAGGAGCAAGACTTGCTGGTGCTTCAAGGATAATTGGTGTTGATGTGAATCCAAAAAGATTTGAAGAAGGTAATATCTCGAACATATCCATAAAAAAAGCCGAACATAATATTTTACAATCATAATACTTTTCCCCTGTTTTTGTTTGATTTTCTTAAAATTTCTTCTTTTTTTTTTTTCTAGCCAAAAAGTTTGGCTGTACAGAGTTTGTGAACCCAAAAGACTATGACAAACCAGTCCAAGAGGTACCTTCCTCAACTCTTGCTTCAATCATCCCATTCTCCAAATTCGAATGTTACAAATTGTTGGGTTTGTTTAAGATGTAATCGAGTGAAATTATTGGTTATCTAAGTTTACCATTATACTCTGGGTATTTGAATTTATTTGATCAGTAGTCTTTCGTCTAAATTACCATAATATGCTCTACAAAACTGAGTTGTTTGAACTGCTCTTGGGGCCCTTTTCAGGTGCTAGTGGAGATGACTAATGGTGGGGTGGACCGTAGTGTTGAATGTACAGGGAACGTCGATGCTATGATTGCTGCTTTTGAATGTGTTCATGATGTAAAGCTTTTCTCCTCCATTCTATTATATGGAATTTAACAAAATACACCTAAAATTTGAACGATTTAACATTTTACGCCATATATAATTTGATAAATTTCCAAACCCATTTTGACATTTCATTTGATGGGCTATTTGAAATTTGATAAAGAAAAATGATGGCTATTTGAAATTGGATTCAAGAATATGGGTAGATGTTGAATAGCTCAAATGTTTAGTTTGTTTTTATAAATTTCCTTCTGTTATTTAGCTCCCTTATGATTAAAACATTTATTTATGTATCTATCAATGTGTACGTCCACTTATGTATGCTTTCCTATCTTTTGTATACATATTTATGTGTGCTTTTGATTACATAACATATAATAATTTTGATTGAACACTGCTATTTGTTTGGAATTTTGTTATCAGGGGTGGGGTGTAGCTGTGCTAGTTGGGGTACCTCACAAGGATGCAGTGTTCAAGACACACCCCATGAATATGCTCAATGAAAGGACTCTCAAAGGAACGTTCTTTGGCAACTATAAGCCGCGTTCTGATCTTCCCTCTGTTGTTGACAAATACATGAAGAAGGCAAGTTATTGTACTCAGAGAAAGAGATGCTATTTTTATGTTCCTGATTAAATTGTTTATTAATCTTCTCAATGGTGTGTAAAGGAGAAAGGAGATTCTTTTGAATGAAGATTAGTACTAACTAATATGTGATAACTAACGATGCAGGAACTTGAACTGGAGAAATTCATCACACATTCAGTCCCATTCTCAGAGATCAATAAGGCTTTTGATTACATGCTCGAAGGGGATGGCCTTCGCTGTATCATTCGGATGGGAGAGTAATGTCAAATAGAGGAGTGTAATAGCTTCAGTTCGGTTTCAACTCGTATTGCTTTCGGTTCCTGAAACTTGAAGAAGCAAAAAGAAATAAAGTACTTGTTGGTGGTTGCTTCTAGTTTAATCGGGTTATCTTTTTTGAATCTTCATTTTTATCTGTTTTTTTTCCTATTTTATGAGGTGTTTAACCTCTTTGTTTCTTTTATGTGGTTTGTAAATGATTGTAACTGGTCGTTGTTTAGTTAATGGTAATCCTTTGTGAATGAAATTATCTTGTTTATGGTAATAGTTGACATTATTTTTTTTTTTTCTTTTGGGAGACATACATAGAGAGAGAAAAAGAGAGAGATCAGTAGAGTTCGTTATCAGCTACAACGGAACAACAAAAAGTCATTTATTAGAGAGAGAAAGAGAGGTGATTAGCTTCAATGAACCAATGAAGTTTATTTATTTGGTTACAGGGGAGAGCGATGAGAAAAAGAGCTGAAAAATGGGACAACTATCTCTGACTTACAACTACTCTCGCTATTCTTCTGGCTCATTAGAGATTCGTCTCCGCTCTTTTCATTCTCAAATATGTCTTCTTTCATCTCATCCTTCACAGTCTCTTCTTCATAACTCTTACTGCAACTGCTCTGTTCAGTGCTGAGATTGTAGAGAGAGGAAGAGGAGGAAGAATTGGAGTCCAGAAATGGCTGCAAGAGCAAGACTTTGAAGACCCAAAAACAGCTGAGACAACCCATCTCTTTTCTAGTTTGTAGAACAGAAATCTCCGTGGAAATGGTTTGAGATGCAGTGATGGGTTTGTTATTACTATGCAGAGCAACAATCTCCTTGTAAATGGTGTGGGAAAACTCTGATTTCTTGCAGATCAAGCCACATTTGTCGGACATCGGGAAAATGTGTTTGTGAGTGATTTGGAGAAAAATTTGTAGTGAGAGAATGGTGATCTGCTTTATATGAGAGAGAAAGAGTGGTTGTCTCCATCAAGAAGAGATGGAGAGAGAGAGAGAGACTCGGAATCTACTTCTTGGAAAGCATGGGATGGCTTTGGTGCTATCCATCTTCCGGTGTGTGAGAATGAGATGACTTTCAAGCAGTGTTTTAAAAATCGGCGAGTCGCTCGGTTCGACCCGGGAACAGGCACAGTTCGTGTCGGTTTCGATACAGAACCGAGAATCATCCGATTTTAGAGAAGAACCGTCGGTTCTAATCCGGTTCTATCCGGTTTACCCGGTTTCCTCACTGTATGAGTGCGTTGCGCACGTGCACGCGTGTTATACGTGTGAGGTTATCTTAATATTTCTACACAAACATTTTAATTTATGTTACATATGTATTTATATACCAAAGTGGAATACTCATCTTTTGATGTGGGATAATTTTCAAACATCATTAAATTAAAAGGGAATTTAAATATATTATATTAATCATCAAGTATAACCACATATGGTGAGGTGGTGTGGTGGTTAAAACCTTTGTTTTTTCATGTGATCAAGGTCGAGTCCCCCCGTGGGCGTTATTTTTTTGTGTTGTATAGTTTTTGTTGTATATATTGTATAAATATTTTTGTAAATAATATAAAAAGTATAAAAAAATGAAAAATAAAAAAGTTAAATTTTTGTATAGTAGTTAATTTTTGTTGTATATAGTGGTATAATTATTTTTTTAAATAAAATGAAAGGCATAAAAAAATAAAACATAAAAAGTTTATTCTATTTGAAATCTCCATCTTTCTACTAACAATCTCTTTCACTAAATTTATTATAGAAACCTAAAAAAATAAATTTTTGAAAAATTGAAGTGTTATTTCCAAAATTTTTACGCATTTTATTAATTTTTACATTGATAACCAAATATTTTATTTTATTTATTAATTTTTACATCACAAATCATGTAATGTACTATTTTTCTTACAGTTGTCAATAATACATTTTAAATTAGATAATATTATAAAATATTTTTAATTTAGTTATTATTTGTCTAATAAAAT